AAGCAGCAGAAATAACATGGACCCAATCTTATGGCCTGCAAAGTTGGAGTTGGAATTCCAAAGGCCTAGCCTTCAACAGGCTGGGACTGATGACTTACACTGACCCCTACGGGCACCACAACCTCCTCCTTCCCTGGCCATCAAGAAGAAATTAGGGTGCAGAGCACTGCAGAATTGGAGATCTCCACCACTGCATCCCATTCCATGCGCAGGATATACTCCAAGATGGGAGGCTTATGGGCACCAATGACGGGGCAATAGGACTGCACTTGAGACAGCAAAACTGATACAATAGCAAATCATCAAGTAGCCATTAAAAATCTTCTGAACGTTTTGGCTTAGTAGCAGTGTAAAATATTAACCCCACTTCTCTGGGATTATTGCTACAAATATTTATTTCTTTTCCCTGTGTGACCACAGGCCAGTAAGGCAAATGAGAGTAAGAAAGACTGAACATATAATATGCTTATTTTAAAAATGACCAATAATGGATAAAGTCTTTTAAAAGGGGGGCAATGATGGAAAATGCTTACTCCCTCCCCCAATGTTAGACCAGCATCTCTTAACTCTGGTGCCCTCCAGATGTTTGGAACTACAACTTCCACAGTTCCTGAACATTGGCTATGCTGACTGGGCCTGTTAAGAGTTGGAAGTCCAAAACATCTGGAAGGTCCCCCACTGGAGAAGCCTGCCTTAACTTTTGCTGCTGGTGGGCATGTAGTCCAACTGTCGTTACTACACAACCTATCTCAACTCTTCTCCTACAAACCAAACATGGAAAGTGGAAGAGAGTGCAGAGCAGCCAACTACAAAGGAAAGAGCTGTCTTATTCTTGCCTGCAAATCTGTTTAGTGGCTACAATATCAGGTGAGCCCACCTTCTGCTCTGCAAAAAGATATATATCAGTCTTCCCCAACTAGGTGTCTTCTGGACATGTTGAGCCGCAACTCACAGCATGACTGGCTGAGGGAAGCTGGGAGTCAAAGACCAAGACCTTTGGGGAGTATCAGGTCTGAGAAGGCAGATCTACACACTTAGATCCTCTCAAAGGCTGCAGTGGTTTAACGTGGCTTTAGAGGAATCTCCTCCCAGATAAAGAAAGAAAGAGATTTGCTGTCTGTTATTTGCTGTTGGTTGGGCTGGGATGGAAGTGAAGGAAGGGCATTCTATCTGTAAAGCTGTCATTTCCCAGGAGATCAAAGCAGGCCAAGGTTGTGTGAACCACATCAATTACTGGAGGAAAAACAATCCTTTTATACAATCCATTATGTGCATGAGAAAGATGTGTTTGTGATGCCCTTCTTGAGAAACAACTGGCAAAATGGTGTCAGTCATACATGGGGCGGAGGATGTCATCTTGTCCTTTGCCTCAGGCAGAAAAGGTATGGCCACAGGCATTTCACTGGCAGTGTGCCACCCCCAAAAAGACCATTTCTTTGTTTGCCACCCACCTTACCTCTGAAGGCAGGAGTACTAAGAGAAAGACAGCTGTTCCAAAGTTTAATAATCAGAGCACATTCAGTGGGAAGAAAATGGCCTTTCAAATATTCCAATCCCAAGCTGTTTAGGGTGTAGAGCAAGGTGGGGAAGGAGCGGCCTTCATGCATCCACTGCCACTGCCCCTGCCCTGGTTGTCTCCTGCTGCAGCACCATTAGTGCAAGATAGAAAGAGAGTAGCAGCAATCTGGTGCCATACTTTGGCAGTAACCTGTTACAGAGTCCTAGAGTATACAAATTTATGTTAGGCTTGGAATGGGTCACCTTTAGCTTCAAGATAAAATTGCCTCCTCTAAAGCTCCATGGCGGTTGCTTCCAACTTTGGGTGGCAAAGACATCTCACTGGCAGCACAGTGGTAGGAGTACAGTATGCGGCAGACCCAGGATCAGGGGAACTGACCGCCAGACTGCCCAGGGTTACTCATCCCTGTTCTAAAGGTTAACATCAGAATTCTGAAATGCACTCAGAAATGAACTGCTAAGTTATGAACAAACTGACAGGTTATAAATCAGTAGCCAAACAGAATGAGTCACCTGCTGCAGCTGGGATGGGTGAAAGAGGAAGAGAAAATGTGAGGGAAAGTCTAAGGGCCAAATAAAATGCTGTAAATATTATGGCTCACTTGGAGGTGAATAATAATCCATGGGACAGGCCACTGAAAAGCCTGCATGTAAAAAGAATTGTTTAACATATCTCTGAGCCATGTAGCGGTTTGCCAGGTTTCAGCAATAAAATTCTGCCTTTCACAAGATTTTAGGGTTGGCACTGAATTCCAGGCAGCTGTTGAAGTTATGAAGCAGTGCATTTTTGGGACATGATCTAAAGTAATGAAGAAACCCATTATGGGTTTTATCCAGTTCTGATGTGTTTCCAGCCTATGTGTCTTTCAGATCTATAATGTATGTATAATTATGATTTATAACTATACATACATCTGTGGCCCTCCAGATGTCAATCGACTACAACTCCCATTGTTTAAACACTAGCCATATTGGTTACAGCAGATGGGAATGTAGTCCAAAACATTTCAAGGCCATATGTTGCTCTACTGTTTCTCTTTACAAAAGAGAATGGGTGGTATCCAGTGGGTGCAACGGGCAATGTAAATTACACTGCACTGACATAAATTACTCTGTCACAATTCCAGAGTAACTGTATTCCAGCTAATGTGATTGGGGTTGCACTAGAGAAGATTATGCTAGTGCAATATAATTTACACTAGCAGTTGTCTTCTAATCCTTGTATACTATACAAAGCAGTAAATGCAATACTCATAATGAAAAGTATACCCACAAGGCTGTCGAGAGCATGTTTAAAATTATAAATGTCAATTTCATATGTTAAGATCATTTAGGAAAATGAATATTACAACTTCCTTGGAGTATTTCATTAATATTAGCATTTTTAACTGACATTTTATAAAATTAAAAATTAAGACTCTAATCCAGGCAAAATTTTAGCATAACTTTTCTACCTCTACCAACCAAAGTGCAAACAAGAACTTCAACTTGCTATCAAAGAAATGTTGCCAGTTCTTTCTCTTAGCATGCCTGAAAAATGTAAGTTGTTTTCCAGCCTAAGATAAAAATCCAATATCATCATGATCAAACAAAGCTATTAAAATGAAAGAAGACTCTAGGTAAGACTGAGTTCTGCTAAAAGAAGGGAAGAAGGACGGAAAAAAGAATCTCTACATGGGTTTTTTTTAAGAGAGTTGGCTGAGCTGAAATCAGTTTCTTTACATTTTTGCTTGTCACAATGAGAATGTAAAAACCAGAAGATGAAAAATAAATCACAGACTTGTTAAAGTTGTGCTTGAAGTCAGTCTGAAGAGAGAAATGTTTGAGCTATAAGAGCACCATTAGCAAAACAACATTCAGAATGTATGCCAAAGTGAAAACCTATATTTTAACAACACTACTGGATGGAGAGGTATGCAGGATGTACAGGCATGTCTGAAGCCAACATGACACATAAGAAAGCAAGCAGGAACAAGGTTTGGAAACACTACAGTCTATATTATGGGAGGCCAGTTCCAAAATCAGTAAAGCTGCACTCTCAGAAATGTTCATTGGGAAACAAGTCCCACTGAACAAAGTGAAACTTGCTTCCAAGTACAAACATTTATATCTCAGGCTGCAAGTCTGCAAACATCTACATAAAACTGCTAATGGACTATTCAATTCTATTGAAGCAGAACCCGAACACACACTGTTTTAGTTATCTTTTGGTTAAGTATGGCAGAGTTTCATTGTTTAGAATAATAACAACTCTTAAGTGATTATCTTCTTAGAGTAAATCTTTCTTCCTAAAACCTGCTATAAAAGTTAAAAATAATCCTTCTTATTTTAAACAAAGCCAATTTAGTTATTTATTGCATTCCATGGTGATGTTTAGCTTCATATGTGCACATTTTGGAGTCGATGTACTAAACTGATACATCTAAGCTGATACAGCAAACTTTTCCTTGCCTCTTCCCCCCATGAAGCCTTTCCAACCTTCCAAACAGCAGGGGGGGGGGGGCAGGAAAATCACAGCAAACACCATCCAGGTTCAAGCCCCTTTGCGACATCAGATTACAGTGGACCAATCCATTTCTTCACTTATATCACTGATCGTGTTTACAAACAACCATCAAGCGATATAAAACTATGCAACATTTTCAGTCTACTGTCTTGTAGTTGCACTTGCTTTAGGCTCAGATGCTCGGTACACAAGCTGAATGTTGGGCAAAGATGGCCACATGCTGTTACAGGAGTGTCCAGGGGTCCTGCAGTTGTCTACCTCTTCATCTTTCCAGGGCCCAATACTAGGACTTGCCTCATTATTCTGCCTTGCAATATGATAGCATAAAGCACGGGAAGAGAAGAGAGTAAAGAAACAGATGTGTTAGGAATAAAAGAAAGAGTGCATGAGTGAGCGTGTGCCGGCACAGGCAATGAAAATGCCACGAAGAGCCTTGCAGCACCTTAAAGACCAGCCAATTGATTTTGGAATAAGCTTCCGTGGACTTCATTTAACCAGCTGCAAGAAGCATTATGTACACTTAAAAGTATACACACAGTTGGGGTGGGGTGGAGAAGAGGCAAGGCCAGAAGGAATATGAAATGCAGTTAAGTGACAATTCCTTTAAGTACAGCGGCCACATACAGTACAGTCGGGGGTAACATAGGCACCCTATCCTTGGTAAGTTAATTAACATGTGAAGGCAGCACTACAATGCATACTTTCCTGTGAATAAGCCATACTGAACACAAGGGAGTTGTTTTCGAGTCAACATAAATAGGATTGCACTGCATAAGATTGATAGCATATAATATGTATGTTTGTAGATGTACATTAAATAGCTCTTTAGCTCAATTGAAGCCTCTGAGGAACTGTGCATTATTCAAGAACTCACTCACTCGTACCTTGCTTTCCGTACATATTCCCACCATTAATGGCCATGTAACTACTCAAAGATCATGTTCGAAGCGCCCGCCTGGAGCCCTGCATCCCTTACCTTGTTTGCTAGCGTCTCAATTGCCTATCCCAGTTGAAACCTGCAGTTCTTCGAAGTCATCAAACAGACCCCCGGATGCGGCCCGTCGCTTAATTTCATCTGGCCCGCCGCAAGTCCTGAACCGAAATTATACCAGATCAAACACCCGCCCGAACTTGCCCCAGAGGCTGGAAGCGCTTGGCGAGAGCGAGGCGCGACTGCGCGGAGGCATGAGAGGATGCTCCCGGGGCGCCGCGGGCACCAGACGCGCCGGGCTCAGCGAAGCGCCTGGGCAGTGCGCTGCGGAGCACGTGACGGAGCTGCAGCCCGAGCCACTAGGCGCCCGCCTCGCTAGGTCGGTAAATAAGATCCACTAGGCTGAGCCTGCGGTCCGGGACTCGTTCCGGGGTAAAGTATCAACGCTCCACATCGGGCGGAAGAGCCCAACTGGGAGAGAAAGGGATCGGCGCGCACGTCCAGCATCCGGCCGTTATCCTGGGTCGACTAATCACGCCCAAGTCACCTGCTGGTATCTGTCCCCGCTCCGATCTTCCCTTACGCAGTGAGCACGGGAGTCCAGTGCTCCCTGCCCGCACATCCTTCCCGTGTTCTTTCCTCCACAGCTCCCGTCCTTCCCCACACCTGCATGGAAAATGGCATCTCCCAAACGCTGCTTTATATTTGCGGAAGAGCAGCGTTGGCCGCCGCTTTCCGCTGGGTGGAGAAGGGGGAGGTCGGGGCTGCTCCGTGGAGGGTACTGGGGCCGCAGGGAAAGAAAACTGGGGAGGGACGAGCGCAGCAGAAGAGCGGAGAGCCGTGCTGGATCAGACCAAGGGGCTCTCGCGACCCCGCATGTTCACACAGCCGCCCTCCACAGGGCAATAGCAGGCTCCCGCCCATGTTCCCCCGCTACTGGGGTACAGAAGCATGCTGCCTCAGATATTTACGCATCCGAACTAGCAGCCGCTGGTAGCTTTCTCCTGTAGAGATTTGCCCAGTGCCCTTTTCTAGCCCTCCAAATTGGTGGCCATCGCTGCGGCTTGTGCAAGTGAATTCCATAAATTAACTGCCTGAAGTGTGAAGTCTCCCACCAAAAAGCTTTATAGGATAGTCCCATTGGGTTCTGCTACTCTGGGAGAGGGAGAAAAATGTCTCCCTATTCACTTTTCCATACTGCATAATTCCAGACACCTCTCTCATGTCCCACTCTTACCTTTTTTTCTAGATTAAATAATTGCAGTTGATCTAGCCTTTGTTCCTAAGGGTGTTGCTTTGGCCCCTAGATCATTTTAGTTGCCTTTTTAAAAATGTTTCCCAATGCTAGAATACCCTTTTTAGGTGCAGTGACCAAAACTGTACACCATATTCTAAGTGTGGTTCCACCATAGATTTGTGTAAGGATAATTTGACATTTTTTAAATTTATTTAAAACATTTCTATGCTGCCCCATTCACAAAGAGCCTCAGGATGGCTTACAATGAAAATTTTCATTTCAATGCCTTTCCTAAGTAAGCCCCTAGAGTTTGCCTGTTTCACAGCAGCTGTGTGCTTGGGTCAACCTTTTCATCTGAATTGTCCACCTCAGCCCCGAGGTCCCTTTCTTGGTCTGTCTTGGCTGCTGGGAATCCAGAAGGTTTGGTGAGATTCTGGCTGTCTTTGCACCACAACTCCAAGCAGGCTTAACTCCCGCGTGACCAGGGGTGATGGTTTATGGAAGTTACAATCCAGCCATGTCAGGAGGATCACATGTTCATCACTTCTGGGTTAGACCAGGTGGGGGTACAGCTGGGGGCCTCTCAGTACACAATACTGCAAGGCACTGGTGGGAAAGGGGGCTTCTGTCTGCATTTCTTTTGAAGGAAAAGCAACCAATACTCAGGAGAGGCTTTTAGGTTGGAAGGGTCTGTTCCTCTTTCAAGAGCATCTAGAAAACAACAGGACCAGTGACGGATCCCCCATGCAGGGAGCCCAATTCCCACCACTGGGTTGCCACTTCTGCAAGTGGGCAGGAAATTAAGTGCAAGAGAGTGAAGGTGGTGGCAGTTCTCCCTTGCTCACCCCCTGGGGGAACCATGGCAACAGGATTGGGACCACAAACCTGTCTGGACAGATGTGAGCAGCAAGAGAGGGTGTGGTGATGGTGGCTTCTTCAAGGAGCAGTCACCTTTTCCTCACTCATCCTTCCAAGTTGCCCAGCGGAAGAGGGTGAGTGAGCAGGTTCCCTTCCTCTGCGTCCCCACTAAGACTGTTCTGCCCTGCTGCATTGTCCAGAGACAGGATGAGGGAGCAGGGAGAGCAGCTCCCCCCACAGACCTCTTGCCCTCCTGATCTCAGCTCCCACCTGAGGATGATGGGATTTCAAGTCAGAAGGGCATTAGGCTGAGTTCCAGCATTGAGATGTGTAGGGTGGGACACTTGATGCGACTCAAGTCATCACTTGAGACTGTCAACAGAAATTACATGTGCACACACACAACCTGGGAAGACCGCATCTTGCGGGGCCCTGGTCCATGAAAGCTTTGCTTAAGATGCCACAACAAATTCACAATACGCTCGAGCCTGGAACAACCGTGCCTCCAACTAGTCACCTCCTAAGCCAGGTCTCACCAAGCCACTATTAACAGTCCTCCACCCTCTTCCAACTCTCCACTCTTGCTGACTCAGTCCTCTCACACCTACTCACACACCCAACTTTTGGGACTGGGGCTGCCACTGAGTAGAATGGGGTGGTTGCCTCGGGTGGCAGCCAGTTCCATGGCTCGGGACCACAGTTCTTGACAGAGACCCTCCTGAGTTAAACCCAGCTGCTCTCTGCAATGGCTGTCTGAGGAGTTCTTCCAAATGCCTCCTCTGAGAGCTGCTCCAAGGGTGGCAACAAGGGAGGCAGCCCAGAGAATTTCAGCAGTTGGGCAAGGCAGAGGTGATGAGTTGAAGTGGCTTCAGATGTTGAAGGAGACAGCTGTGGGCAGCCCTCCCTGGACCCCCCGAGCTGGCCTGCTCCTTTCGCATTGGGTGACGAAGGCTGTCCCTGTGCCAGAATTAAAGAATGATCCAGCAGCCAGGTCAGTTGACTTTTGCACATGGAAGAGGCGGGGGTGCCGTTTTGTCCCTTGTCTGAAGCAGCAGAATGCTTGTGGCCAGCCTTGCCAGCCGTGATCCCATACTCCCTCCAGCTGACCTTCACGTTCCATCCTTCGAGACATCACAGCCACCTTCAAACACAAATCCCAGTTGTGGTTCATCATTACATATACTATGTAAACCGGTGCGGTGTCGTGGCCTGAGTGCTGGACTGGGGACTCAGGAGATCTGGGTTCTAGCCCCAGTGGATGATTTTGGACCAGTCACAGACTCTCCACCTAAATTACTTCAAAGGGCTGCTGTTCTGAGGATAGAATGGAGAGGAGGAGAACTTTGAAAGCTGCCTCGGGTTTCTTGCATGAAGAAGGAAGACAGGTTGTATGTATGATGTCATCTTCATCTGAAAGAAAGAAAAAAGCATTTTTTTACTTGCATTTTGTTCCAGAAGATTGGTTTCTTCCTATGAATTAAAGCCCATTAAAGAAAAAATGTTATCCCATCCTTTATTTAAATGATTTACTGGAAGTGGGAGGGCCCATGATGGACAAACAAGGATCAAGACTGCAATCCTATATGTACTTATGTGACTAAGCTCCACTGAACCAACTGGGGCTTCCTTCTGAATAGACATGCAGAGGATTGTGGGAAGGTAAGAGGCATTGTAATTCTGAGGAGATGGTAGGTTCTGGGAATAGTGGAGGATATAGCCAGGAATTGATGTCTGGCATTAGAAAAAAGAGAGAGCATCTTTACCTGGAAATTTTGTGATGTTCTAGGGCTCTGTCCTAGCAGTTTTGTTTAAGCAGACTAATAAACATTTTCTCTCTGTTCAGGCAGTCAGACACCCATGCAGTAAACAGTAATTTATGGTTGTGAAATAAGAGGCTTCCAAAGCAGCTTTTTTAGTTCACACCTTTAAATTAACTGCTACCCTGAAGCACAACTGCTGAGAGCTAACAGCATTCCAGTTGAAATGGAGGTATGCAAATTGTTCTTCCAGCTAAACCTTCTCTCTCCCTTTCACCTCTGTTTTTCTTCCAGTTCTCAATCCAAGCCTTGGATTTCGAAGTTCACTCGGGAACAACTCTTAAAAGAAACACAAGAATTCACTGTCCATGTTTCTTAAGGCACAAAGATTGTATCTGTTCACATGTTTTTGTTGTTAGTTTTACATTATGGGTCTGTAACCAGAACATGTAAGGCAACATCACTTAACTGGTTAATAATACCAGGTCAGTTCTCTGTGCAAAAACCATACAAAATGTTTGCAAAACATTTTGGGGGTACGAAAGATTGGATTGGCTTCCAGCTAGTGGCCCACCAATAAAACCTCCTATCAGTGGAACATGGAGGGGGTGATTTCCCCTCCTTTCTGCTTCCCCTTGCAACTCCCCTAGCTGCTCTGGAGGGGCCCCCAATGTCCCATAGTGCATTTCAGAGGGAAGAGAATTGCCTTCTTTGCCATTCCACTGATAGAAGATTCCCTTGGCCAGAGAGCCACTAGCTACTCTGTTCCTTTGAAAGTTCTGCTATACTAGTAGAATGATCCTATGGCCCCCAGACATTGTCTGAGGGGCCTTAGGAGAGTTCACATTTCCAGTTCTGCAGCAGTAGACAGTGCTCTGACTTTGGAGCTGGGAATCAAAGCTCTAGGTCCTTCCACCTCCTCCTGCACTTGAATTGTGCTCATTGTTCTCCAAGGTCAGGAAAGTGACCTCAGAGAGCGGTTAAAAGGGGCATTTCAGGGGGCTGGGAGGGATAGGTTTAGGATGTCCAAGATACTATGTATCCTGCAGCCACTCCAGCCTCTTTCTCTTCCCCTCTGGGATACCATTGCAAGGGGGCGAAAACCATGTAGCAAAAGTATCTGCAGAGCAGAAAGATGAAAGCTGCTTCCACCCCTCCTCCCGCACAGCTGTGGGCTTATGCCCCTCTCCAAGGCTTGCACCCAAAGTAATTACAAGGGTTTAAAGGATTCCATAAGCCTGGGGCTCCCCCAACATTGTCAGATTGTAATATGGCTGAGGATGATGGGAACAAGCATCCAGTGTTATTTGGCAGGTCACAGGTTCCTAGATGAACACAAATGTACTACAAAATTTTTAAAAGATGAAAGTACCTGAAAAAACAGTCCCTGTATGAAATGGCCTTCCTTGGCAGGCACAAAACAC